TAATGTGATTAGTTATACAGTTCTACAAAGGTGCAGGGGCGGTCGGGTAGCTTAGTGGTTAAAGGGTTGGCTCGTCGCCGAAGACCCGGGTTCGAATCCCCACATGGGTAAAATGTGAAGCTCCATTTCTGGTGCCCCCGCCATTGATGTTGCTGGAATATTGCTTAAAGCGGCGTAAAACCAAACTCAGTCAGTCAGTCAGTCAGTACAAAGGTGCACTTGGGAATGTTGATTTGTTTCACTGAATGAAACTATCCCTCGGACATATGGTCGAATAGGGATCTGAAATAGATGTGAGAAATATGAAAACACAAAGCTATATATATTCTAAGATTATTCATGAATATTGATCGAGCATTAACAGACCGCCGCCATATAGCTGGAATATTGCTGAGTGCGGCGTAAAACTAAACTCACTCGCTCACTATCGAGCATTACCGACGCTATTTGCTGTGAATATTAGTCAGCGGTATCGTGACAATGGTTAGTGTAAAGGATTTTTGTTTTCATTTCATGTAAAATTAGGATGTGGGGACGGAAACGAAAAAAGACAAGGCTTCAAACATGCATTTGCAAAGAAGGGCTCTTGAAAATAGGGCCAGATTATAGACTGACTGACTGACTGAGTTTGCAATATTCCAGCAATATCACGGCGGGGGACACCAGAAATGGGCTTCACTCATTGTACCCATGTGGGGATTCGAACCCGGGTCTTCGGCGTGCCGAGCCAACGCTTTAACCACTAGACTACCCAACCGCCCCGCCAGATTATAGAGGCCCATGATCCAAGTTGTAAAGCGAGAGTGGGGTTGGCAAGTTTTCTCTTTCTTTCTGTTCTCCACACAAGTAAACAGGTTAATAATGTAAAATGAATTCCATATTTGTTTTGAATTGCAGTCAAAGTGAAATGACATCATCGTCTCCACAACAAATTAACACATCAACCAATGATGGGAGCAATTAATACCTAAAAAAGATTAAAGCATGTCACTTTCAATAGTACAGAGTCTGGTTTACTGCCTTTATCCACCACATTCGTCTGCCTATATGTTGATGGATATATCAATGATGTTTCTGTTTTCACTAAATGATCTTGCAAAACCTGTACACTACAAACTGGGGTGGGGTGGGGTGGGGTGGGTGAGTTAACATGTTCCTATCTCCTAACCTTCGTGGGGCGGTGGGGTAGCCAAGTGGTTAAAGCGTTCGCTCGTCACGCCGAAGATCCAAGTTCGAGACCCTAAATGGATACAATGTGTGAAGCACATTTCAGGTGTCCACCGCCATGATATTGCTGGAATATTGTTAAACGTGGCGTAAAACTTATCTAACTCACTCACTCATTACTTACCTTCTTTCTTCTGGGCCTTCCTCCTCCGCACTTGGCGGCAGAGACAACCTGACATCACCAAGACAACCAACCCGAGCACACTTGCACCAGAAACAAGCGAATAGAAAATGGTTGTTCTGTCGGAATTCGGTTGAGCACTGCAACATCGATATAACACAGTTTACCGCATATATGTGATGTGTGTTGGGGTCTTACCACTGTAGTCAGTTGCCACGTATGTGAGTGAGAACAGTTTTACAACGCACTCAGCAATACTCAATCTATGCAGTTGGGATACGATGACATGTGTCAACCAAGTCAGCGAGTCTGACCACCCGATCTCGTTAGTTGCGTCTTACAAGCATGGGTTACTGAAGATCAATTCTATCCCGGATCTTCACGGGTAGTGGCCACGTAAACCGATAACTTACTAATTCATATTCAGTGTCATATAAAGAATTTTACCATTGAACAATTTGTCAGTTGTATATGCATCGTATCTGTAGATCAATGTATAAGATCGGTTAGCCTCACAAAAACCTTCTTGAAAAGGTGAATTTGGTGACTGGAAAACTGTTTCAATGAAGAAAAGGATACCAAGATTCATGGTGTTGGAATCTTGTTACGTATTTTTTCTTTATTCATCTAAACATGGAGATATAATTTTCCTGATCACATATAATTCCCCGAATGTCAACTGCACAAACACAGCAGTTTTTTTATAATTTAATAAGGGTCAATATTATAACTATTCTAAGCCCATGAAGATGCGAGCTAGAATTGGTCTTCCTTAACCCATGCTTGACGTAATTGGCGGTTCACGGGATCGTGTGGTCATGCTCGCTGACTGTTGGCACATGTCATCGTGTCCCAATTGCGTCGATCAATGCTCATGCTGTTGATCACGGGATTGTCTGGTCAAGACTCGATTATTTACAGACCGCCGTCATGTAGATGGAATATTGCTATGTATATTTGTGCACGCCTTACATAGAATATTCATTATTTTAATTTATGGCTGAATTCGTCAATTCGTAACGGAGTGGATGATGCAAAAGCAACTAGCGTCCAAACATGTTGTACAATAAGACCTCATTGACTCTAGTATGGTGATTTACTTTCAGTTGCTTGCGATATGTAGCTCGTATTTCTATTGTATTTGTATGCATAGTAATATCTTCTCCAGATGCACACTAGTTCGAAGAGTAAATCTGTTATAGTCTACTGATTCATATATTGACCTTTGTTGTTATTTATTTATTGCATTTATATACATCTAAGATGGCTTCTATTACCATATAGCTTCATAGTCATGATATGGCTGAAATACTACCGATGTGACGTGAATTATAACTCACTCACTCACTCAATTATCTTCTTCGAAAAAAGAATACTCACATTTGTTTTCTTTCAAACTGCTTCCTGCACTGTGCACATTCATGGTCGTTTGGACAAGCCGAAGTAAAGTTTAAATATGTCATCAGTTGCTGTACAGGTCTTGACAAAATGATACCCTTATCTGATGAATAGCCAACCTTGAAAAAACAAATATTATTGTAAACTCAGTCACTGTAGCAAGGTCAGACAAGAATGATACATTAATCTGCCTGGTGTTGCACACCTCAGCATTCCAACAAAATGAAACCAAAGCACAATAATTTCATAAGGAATGTAAGCATGTCCACTCAGTTTGCAAAACATCAACAATGTCATCTGCAGAAATATTACATACATACAACTGCAGTAGTTTTATCCTCGGGACCAGGATAACTTACTATTACTACGCTAAGACGTAACTAAATACTAATTTAGCACAAAGTGATACCCGTGAAGGTAAAGGTTCGAATTGGTCTTCAGCAACCCATGCTTGTCGTCAGAGGCGATTTACGGAATAGGGTGGTCCTGCTAGCTGACTTGAGTACAGCGTTAGAACAACAAACAAACCAACCAAATCACTAAGTGATCGAGAAGGCAGAATTTGTAGGAATGACGATGCTTTGACAGTTTCTCGGTTAAATCATGGCAGGCAAACTTGGTGGCGCTAAGGAAGTGAGCAAAATCAAAGCAGGAAGTAAAACCGGTAGTAGACTTACATCTTTACTTAGAAAAATTATACAAGTTGTATTTGAAAATCTTCGGTGGCAAAGTGAACTGGAGAAACCCCACAGGTGTAAAAGGGACCGAATTCTAACCAGCAAATTTTGGCTGCTAAGACGACAGAGGAACACATGCCCATGTCTCTTGCTCTGAGGATTGACTGACTGAGTTTGTTTTACGCCGCTTTTAGCAATATTCCAGCAACATCACGGCGGGGGACACCAGAAATGGGCTTTACACATTGTACCCATATGGGGATTCGAACCCGGGTCTTCGGCGTGACGAGCCAACGCTTTAACCATTAGGCTACCCCACCGCCCCTTGCTCTGAGGAGACCACGGGATAAGAAGACGATTGTCTGAATAGCTTTGGATACAAACCGATTTTTAAAACAACGTTCACATGACATACCTACCTCTTTATACAAAAGACTTTTGTTCCGGACAATCTGGGAAATAGTGTACCCCACGTTTCCGTCACCATTGCTGTCAAAGACGTTGATGCTGTTACCATCCTGGTAAATATCCAGTTTTACTTCTTTCAGTTTAGCGATCATGGCTGGAGTGGAAATGTCTGTGCAGATTACAAGATCTTTACAGATTGATGTCACAGCATCGTGGAACCCATGGACAAGACTGTACACTGTGTAGATTGCAAATGTTACCCACAAATCAGGCTTGATACTGTCACCAAGCCTTGATGAGGGACATTTTTGTCCATTCTTCTTTTGAAAACTTTTTAGGTACATAGCACTGTTTAATTTCTTCAAAGTACTCTTGCAGCCATGGGTTTTCGTAAGTTTGAATGTGTCTATATTTTTAAAGTATTCAGCAAAAGCGGTAATTTCAGGAAGCTTCTGAGCTATTGTTATAGAACCACGTAAGTTTGTTGTTAAAAGGTCTTCCATTTGAGCCCAGCTTTCTCCACCAATAAAGGCAAATTCTCTACTTTCCATATCTTTATCAAGGTTCTGCATGATCAAACGTGTAAGAAACGGCAATGCAAACACGACGACAACTTTGGCATATCTGTATTGTCTTAGCTTAGACATGTAGCCTGTATGTTTACTTGGATCATCAGTGTTCTCAGCTTCAACGGTCTGTGCCACGCATATCTCCTCTTTCTGTGCAGCATCCAGAAGAGCTTCTTTTCCAGCTATCCCATATTCCACCTTCGAGAAGATAATCTGTATGTATTTCGAGGAAGTCCTTTTAGCTAACTGCATGATAACTTCAGCTTGCTTGGGGTCAGGTGAACTCGCTCTCATAAAATATGGATGATATCCTCTGTTGCTCAAGGTGGAAGCTGTGGCTGAGTAGGAGATCTGCAACGTCTTGGTTTGTGTCAATAATGTTGAAACAGGTACAGTTACGAAGCTGAAAGCAGGGCCAATATAACCAATTATCTTGTCCAAAATCTTTGAACTGTTAGAACTATGGTCAAGACGTAGGCTTCCATCATTCAAACTAATGATCTGCTCTTGTATCTGATATGGATTGGAACATGTATCCAGTACAACCAAGCCAATTGTCTTGTTGCCAAGAGTCCCACCAAATATGCCAGACTTGTTGTTTTAGGTGGATACAGCGAACTGCAATGCTATTGTAAGGTCAACACTTAGAGATATGGCTCGCACGCTTCCACACTTCAGAAAGGTACCACCCTTGTTGTGTATGGGTGCCATACCAATGATATAGAAATCACCTGGTATGTATAAGACCTTTGCATCTTCGTTTGACTTCAAGCACTTTATACAGTCATACGATTTCTGACATTGTGCATGAACGGCGTCTGTTTCTTCTTCGTCCTTATTAAATGCCACGATTGTGTCTGTTATATTTAACCGGTCATCTCTAAACTCCCCCACCTGCAAGGATAAGAACAAACATAGCATTGGTAATCGTTGTGGTGATGTCTATTCTTGTGCATAGAGCTCAAGTTACTATTCAGTTGAAGTTGAGCAACGGTGAGCGGGGAAGACCACTGGATGGGTGAGCGTCTTATGCAGCCACTGGATGGGTGAGCGTCTAATGCAGCTTGATTCCTCGGAGTGCCTAGGACTTCAGTCCTGGTAATACTTGATAACGTTTTGAGCAAGATATTCATCCTGGAATGACGCTTTAAAAGTGGACTATTACTATCATTGTATTTTTTCTCATTCTGTTAACAGTCGGTGGTTTGTTTGACCAATGTATAATCAGTATAATATTCCTGTCAATTATTTATGATATAATACTTTCGTATAGAAGAACAAATGGAGATTTGTAAAAGTGTATTTATTGAAATGTTTCATGTTTGTAACTGCCCAGTTTGCAGTCTCAAAGTTGGCAGTCATATACTTTATGTGAATTGTGCATATATAGTTAGCTGCCTGTTAATAATAGCTTAAAGTAGTTTTTTTTATAAGAATTGATACTCAAATAGATAATGCTCAAAAGGACAACCCGTGTTTGTTTTCCTTGCATGATGCTTTCCAGACAACCTGCCACTGTGAGATCTATTTGAAACCTTCAGGTGGATAACTAATACATATCTTGTTCTTCTATTGATCGAAACAAGTAACGAAAAATAAACACATAAAGTATGGAAGTGATAGACATAAATGGTATACCTTGTAAAATCCAAATGAGCTGCCATTGGATTTGAAGTTGAAGACAGAATAATCAGGTTCTTCTTTCTTTGCATAGCGAATCTCTCCTTTTTCGAAGCTGAAGGTAATGTTTACGTTAGGAAACTCTTGCTTAAAATCCCCTCTCGTACTGACAACGATCTGTTCCATCTTTGATATTGCTTGACTCCTCATCCGAAAACAAACATCAGTATTTGAACCACATTCTGTATATAGTTGCTTAACTGTTTTCGCAAGCGCTGCAGCACCACGAGAGCACAATGGGTATACAAGTTCAGTTTCGTATGCCCACGAATATATTCGCTTGCCCTATTGAGACAGGCGGTAGCATTGACCATGCTGTCCTTAAACTGTAAGTCCATGCATCCAGTAATTTTCTGCAGGTAACCATGAAACCAATCATTATTCCTGATGTGTTTCTTTATCAGTGTCATATTCTTGTGTAGATCAGCCCAGAACTGACTGAACAATTCCACATCGTAATAATCTGGACTCTGAGTCAAGAGACCTTTAGTTCTGGGGATGATTTGCCCATCCTTTGCGTCTTGTACATACATTTTGTCAACGGCTAATGATTCTGAAACAATCATTTGAAAATTTGTGAGTTCCAAGAGTTTATCAAGGTACACAAATATGTCCTTTGCTGTTTCAGCTCGACCAAAGAAGACCAGTCCTAACACAGGACTTTCTTCGTCTTTCCGAAGACGTTGGGTTAGGTTACTGAATATCAACATAAATCAACTACAGACACGAATGTTAAGTCTCTCCTATCATTGTTCGAGGTATATGCATGTATGGTAATGTAGAGTGACAGGAATTAAGATAATCATAATGGGAGATCTAGAGAATCGTTAGCCTAACTGTATACAGCAGATTAACATTCGATCTGCGTTTATTCGGTGGTCAAAGACCATCTGCAAAATAGTGAGTACGTTTAGTTTTACGCCGCACTCAGCAGTATTTAAGCTATATGGCGGCGGTCTGTACATAATCATGTCTTGACCAGACAATCCAGTGACCAACAGCATGAGCACCGATCTACGCAATTGTAATACAATGACATGTGTCAACCAAGTCAGCGAGCCTGACCACCCGATCCCCTTAGTCGTCTCTTACGACAAGCATGGGTTGCTGAAGATCAAATCTAATCCGGATCTTCACGGGTCTCCATCGGTAAAATATGAGTTATTGTTCCAGGTAAACGAGGTCTTCATATCATTATCGCCGATGTTATGAGACTTGCACCAAGATATCAGGATGAATCCCAGTAGTGTCGTGTAACCACCAGTTGTACATCATTACCGGTGTACCATCAGTCCCAAGACACTGATCACGTTCATTATCAAATATGTTTGCTTGCTTTTTCTTTCTTCCAACACATGAAACCTGAGGTACTTTAACTGATATGAACGAAAAACACAGACTAACTACAGTGGGGAAAGATTGTACATATCTCTCAATGTGTCTGTTAACTTAACAGTAAGGTCTTAGAGTAAATTAGATGACTTCACAGGTCCAGACACTTATCTTTTATATGTTCTGAGATGCTGCTGAAGATCATTAATTTGGCATCAGACCGTGGAATATATCGCCTCGTTGAACATAGGTTGAAAGGGCATCGTCAATGAGCCAAGGTAAGTCGTGAATCTGTACTTACTGCTTCGTCAGGCGCCCTTCTGATAGCATTGGTGAAAAGCACGTTACACATATAAACCCCAATTGAAATCCTTTGTTTTCCGCCCCATACCCATGTCTGTGTGATTCTGCTAAGTGGAGAAAGTTTACAACCTCCAAGGTGCCTGTACTACCTGTCAGTTGTCGACGCTAAACCCAACTCACTCGTCAGTATTCTTTCCTAAGGAGCACCTAATATCATTGACAAACGGAAGGGAATGTTTGTGTCACTTTTTTCATTCCAGGTGTGAATCAAAGAGTGTTTTGTCTCTTTTTTAACTCCTCGCCGGATATTTCCAATGAGTTCTTCCTCAGACATCTTGTGATGAAGCCATGCCACCTACACGGAACACATGCCAACGTTTGATGCCTCTATGTTTCTAAACATAGGATCATTAACGGTACTCACTTCGTACATAGACACTGGACATGTGGGAACCTTTAACGAGAGATTGGTATCCTGCTGTGTGTTTACGATTAGGCATCCAAATCTATCTCCTAAAACGACCCCTTGTGAAAGATGTAAACCTGACACCTCACTATATTCCTTGATTGGATTCTCTATCAACGCCTCAATCAATTATTTTATAACTCTGGGACCAATGGAACCGTCGTCCTGCTTCAAGACAGTAAACATAAAACATAACTTCATATCAGGAATTACCTTACATTCCCTGGTCCGTCTCAAATAGTATTCAATGCAGTTTTCAAGATAGGTTTCTCATTCAGATAACGTCCATGGCAGCTCTAACAGGAATATTTAGGATCCCTTAATACCATGTATGGTAAATATATTTAGAAACATACTGTGATGAGCTTTGGAATAACAGATCCGCGTTTGATAGTGCAATACTAAATACAACTTATTTTCCGGAACGTCCAGTTCGGTTCCTTTAGCACACACAGGGAAACACGGCAGGCTGGATGAACGTACAATTCACGTAACTTCAGAGTGGCGTCAACACACTCTTTCCCACTCAAGTATAGAACATTCAATACTGAGGCTGTCCAATCCGCCTCCGTGCTTTTCGTGTATGGAGTGGTTAATGCATGTGTGGGTCAATTACCTCATCAAAAATGATCATGTCTGTGTAATATTATCACGGAGTTGTTCCTGGCCATAGACTCAATCTGAAACCCACCTCCTAGGTGTTATATTTCATTAACCTCACTAGTGTTTCGAGAGTCTTACAAATCCATGACCACAGACAACGAAAACACAACAACTCTCAATGAACACTAATAGCATTACCCATACTTCAGTGTTAAACATTGTATTACAGTACTGAGTAAAGTACTGGTCTGAACTATATAAAAAAAGTAGTTCTGTGGTGCACATTTGCTGAACAGGTAAAAGAAACTGACACTTTGATTACCAAGGTGACTGCAAAGTGTCCAGTCCTACCGACATTGCGCTCACTCACGTCGTGGGGGTACCGATGGGTCCCTGGAGTGTGTCGGGGTTTAAGCATCTTGAAATACATATATGATTTTTCTGGCTTGACGTCTTCATGTGGGGTGTAGACAATGTACTGACATGCATATCACAACTAGGCACATTATTGGATTCTAAATCACATTAATGGATCTTGATGCGTACAAGGTAGCAAATCTGACGGCGAATAAAATTGTCCACCCAGGTGTAGTTTCTTGATGATGCATCTGTGACATACTCTCCTGAAGAACACCTACTACCACGCGTATTCTAGATTATACTAGTCAGGACAGAACATGCTCACATCGAGATCACCTGGCATCACCAGTATACTAGACGACACGGGTGGGGCAAAGCATGCTTACACCCAGATCACCTGGTATCACCGGTATTCCAGTATTCTAGACGATACGGGTAAGAGAGAACATGCTCATATCTAGATCACCTGGTATCACCAGTATTCTAGACGACACGGGTTGGAGAGAACATGCTCATATCTAGATCACCTCGTATCACCAGTATGTTAGACGACACGGGTGGGACAGTGCATTCTAACATCCAGATCACCTGGTATCACCAGTATTTTAGACGACACGGATGGGACAGAACATGCTCACATCTAGATCACCTGCTATCACCAGTATTCTAGACGACACGGGTGGGACAGTGCATTCTCACATCTAGATCACCTGGTATCACCAGTATGTTAGACGACACGGGTGGGACAGAATATGCTCACATCTAGATCACCTGCTATCACCAGTATTCTAGACGACACGGGTGGGACAGAACATGCTCACATCTAGATCACCTGTTATCACCAGTATTCTAGACGACACGGGTGGGACAGTGCATTCTCACATCTAGATCACCTGCTATCACCAGTATGTTAGACGACACGTGTGGGACAGAACATGCTCACATCTAGATCACCTGCTATCACCAGTATTCTAGACGATACGGGTGGGACTGTGCATTCTAACATCTAGATCACCTGGTATCACCAGTATGTTAGACGACACGGGTGGGACAGAACATGCTCTCATCTAGATCACCTGGTATCACCAGTATTCTAGACGATACGGGTTGGAGAGAACATGCTTATATCTAGATCACCTGGTATCACCAGTATTCTAGACGACACGGGTTGGAGAGAACATGCTCATATCTAGATCACCTGGTATCACCAGTATTCTAGACGACACGGGTTGGAGAGAACATGCTCATATCTAGATCACCTCGTATCACCAGTATGTTAGACGACACGGGTGGGACAGTGCATTCTAACATCCAGATCACCTGGTATCACCAGTATTTTAGACGACACGGATGGGACAGAACATGCTCACATCTAGATCACCTGCTATCACCAGTATTCTAGACGACACGGGTGGGACAGTGCATTCTCACATCTAGATCACCTGGTATCACCAGTATTTTAGACCACACGGATGGGACAGAACATGCTCACATCTAGATCACCTACTATCACCAGTATTCTAGACGACACGGGTGGGACAGTGCATTCTCACATCTAGATCACCTGCTATCACCAGTATTTTAGACCACACGGATGGGACAGAACATGCTCATATCTAGATCACCTGCTATCACCAGTATTCTAGACGACACGGGTTGGACAGTGCATTCTCACATCTAGATCACCTGGTATCACCAGTATGTTAGACGACACGGGTGGGACAGAACATGCTCACATCTAGATCACCTGCTATCACCAGTATTCTAGACGACACGGGTGGGACAGAACATGCTCACATCTAGATCACCTGCTATCACCAGTATTCTAGACGACACGGGTGGGACAGTGCATTCTCACATCTAGATCACCTGGTATCACCAGTATGTTAGACGACACGGGTGGGACAGAACATGCTCACATCTAGATCACCTGCTATCACCAGTATTCTAGACGACACGGGTGGGACAGAACATGCTCACATCTAGATCACCTGGTATCACCAGTATTCTAGACGACACGGGTGGGACAGTGCATTCTCACATCTAGATCACCTGGTATCACCAGTATGTTAGACGACACGGGTGGGACAGAATATGCTCACATCTAGATCACCTGCTATCACCAGTATTCTAGACGACA